AAAGGGTACAGGTGTATACATTAAAATTCACAAGTAATCAAGCAGCTGATGACTATGAAGTCTCCAAGCCTCCTCCAGGGCCTCAGTCTGAGGTGATGAATGAAAAAGCTGCATGAGCAGGTCCATACCAATTCTAAACTTTGCTATTTTCTCACTCATCTCCATTGAGAGATAACATTTAGCACAGATAAGTGGCCTCAAAACACAGTGCTCATTTTAAATCTTTTCTAAGAAGTAACGCATGTCTTTCACTCCAGAAACACTAAACCTTATAATTGAAATTAATCCATTCTTCTCCTTCCCACTCTGCTTATTACTAGTTCAACAGTTTTCTAGAAGCCCAGCACTCAGAGCTTGGTTACAGTTAAATGCCATCCACAACATTATTAGTTGGTGGCCCAAAGCTAATAATTAATAAAGATAATTGTTTTCAAAATATACTTCAAAAGAAGAAAATTCAAAAAATTGTAATTTTACTCACCATGATAATGATCTGCATAATGAAATAAAGATTAGCAACCCTGCGGAATTGCTCAAATAAGTTGAGGGGAAGAAAGGTAAGAATACTGTATTTCGATGTCCTGATGTAATTGTTGACATATTGGAATTGTGCATTATACTCATGGTCATTTGTCCTCAACTGCCTCTCCTTGGCTGAAATGATAAATGTATCTTATTAGACATCTTCATATGTAGTACGGCTGAGTATTTTTACAAGTTGTGCTGTATTTTGATGGGAAGGCAGTAGATTGAACAGGATAGCACGTCCAGCCAAATGGTAAAACACTTTTTTTTTTTGTATAAAATAACCAACTGTCCCAAATTGCAGGATATTTGTACTCAACTCTGCATTATTTGTACTCTTCTGAGTGCAGTTGGATAATCAATAGGTTTACCACTAATTTATCCAGGTCAATGAACCCTGAAATAATTATTTCCTCAAAATAAGAAGCCAAAGATCTCTTGAGAATTCTAGGATTCTCATAAACTAAAAAGCTATACTAAACGAGCTGAACACTTTAGTGAAACTATGGAAAAACTCTCATCTTTAATTTGGATTGTGTCCTTGTTTCATTAATTAAAAACAATTTGCATAATAAATTCAGATACAATTTATTGCATATTTTATCGCCATAACCAGGCCAGATGCTCCAAATTAATGATAAATTTTCTAGCCCATAGATTTTTGCAATCAGAATCAACACTGCCATCTGATATGCATGCATGAGGATTTTAGCATGAGGTAAGGTTAAATTATGCTAGCAAATCCAACTTAGGTTAACTGAGATCATATGAAAGGGCATCACATATTTAACCTCTAATACTTGTTGAAAATAGTATATATGTAAAACATTTATTAACAAAACCTAAACCAAATAAAGTGGCTCAAGGGAAAATGAAAGCAAAATATTATCCATCCACAGAAACTTAATCTTCATCGATTTAAAAAAATTGTAACATACATGCCCACAGTTTAGGGGAAAAAATCACACAGACAGATTTGCAATTTTTAAAACATTATCTACAACAATGCACATGTAAATGATTTTACCCAAATTTACAAATAAAAAGACGCTAACAATAGAACAAGATAATGTTTAAAGACGTATAATCTATCTCGTAAAACCAGCGTTAATCCAATAATAAGTAGCATGTAAAAGTAAGCCAGCCAGGATTAACTCATTCGTTACTACCACTCCATGTAATAAGATATCATACCCACGCGTTTAGTGTTTTTTTTTTTTTTCTATTTTTTTTTAATTTTTCAATGAACTTTCCAATCGGTTTTCTTTCCTTTCATAAATATATTAATATGGAGACGACCGCTCTCTCTCTTGCAAAATCAAATAATTGTATTTCATAGGTACCTCGCGTATTTGTTTTATAACGATGAGATCCCTTTTTAAAGCACGCCTTTAATACTAAATATTCTGAAAAATGACATCAGGGCCAAAATACTTCACTTTGCTCGAAACGGAAAGTACGTGTGCATAACAAACTTCGCCTTAACTTATCCCATCGACATTGTCGCGAACTAACCTTCGGTTGTTAGGGAAACTGGAAACAGCTGCTGCAGAGAAATAGCACATCCTGACCGTTCACACGATGAAGGACTTAAAACTATAGACGAACAATCATACAATACCTTCTTGGTTATCTTTTGATCTGCACAAATTCATTTTCAAAGGCGTGAGACCGGTGGTTAATGTTAAACCCCAATAACAGTCGACTTGAAGTTAATTGTACACCAGGCAAGCCAAAGTCGTAATTACCGCTGTTAGTTGTGTTGTCGGCTCGCCACAAGTTAATGACTAAAGGGGAAACTAAATAGCTGGCTGATCATATTTAAAAAAAGTGAAATTTCTTAAAATCCACTCTTTCATCCGATCTTCGCATATCAACCGCAAAAGTATCATCTAAGTTTTCCTCTAAGCAAATATTCGCACTACAACCTCTGTTTCAGTTTCTCTCCTTTTCTTCTGCACCAGTTGAAAGACTGGACTCCAGTCAAGTAAAAGACCGCGAAACGCCGCTAAACAGCTGCTAAACAACATGAATTTACATAAAGTACTCTATAGATAATCTGGTTTTAAAGTTATTGAAACAAAAGGTTGCCGAAAATATTAACGACAAAACATTGCAATAAAAGTGTAAAAATTGAAACTATCTCTGTCGATTTTTTTTCTTTTACGAAAGGATTTGGATATTGCCAGGAGCCCATTATGTTATTGACATTGGCATTAGTTTAACACTGAGTATGAAAAGAATGTTAAAATAATTCCCTAAGAGACTTAACTACAATCGCAAAAAATGATAAAAAAAAAGTATTAGCTCATTGAATGCAAATATGTCGGCCCAAATCTCTAGTGGCCATTATCATTTAGAGATCAACAATCGGCTAATTATTTCGTCAAGGCCAAATTCGAAGCCTGAACGCCAACACAAGTGCCCAAACGAGAACGAGGTCATTCAAACCAAGAATATTGGCCATGACCAAGCCCTTGCTCATAATAAGAAAAAGCCATCTGTTTTCTTAGTAAGCAATGTGTGGTTTGCAAACATGTTTGGTATACAACCGACATTGTACACCAAAGCATCAGCGAACATGTAAACATTTGGCAATCATAAACAAGGATCTCTTTTCAGTACTGAACCCTGTTCCGTTGTTTTGTCAATTTCTTTACATGACTTTGTGTGCCGAAGAAATGCCTAACTTCCATAGAGGTAACTTTCAACAACTGCAGTATCTTACTTGAGACTCGGGCAGTACGAGACTTCATGATGTGTGTGACCTTCAATCTTTCAGCCTCCTAAAATCGTGCCACCTCAATGTAAAACCACGCTAATGATGACGATGCGATGATCATTTGAACGCAGAACTTCTTTACTTCTGTTCCACTTTGAATATTTAGGCAAAGTCCAACTGCGGGAAGTAAGGAGTTGACGTTAGATTATGATTTTGGGTTCTTGACTAACAAAATCTATAGTTTCCTTGAGTTTAAGACTCGCTATCATGCAATCGTTTCATAAGATAAGATAAAAATTTTATTTAGGTGTCATAAATAGTTTGGCATGACTGCTCAATAATTGGGGACACTAAATTACTATTTACTTACCTAATATGAAATAAAATAATCAAAATAAAGGTTGATTAAAAATACAAGCTCAGCGATGGAGAAAACTAATATAGCAAATATTCACATTTTTAAGCTACAATGTGCCCGAAAGGCCATCCACTCCTCATTCTCGAGTCTCAAGAGATCTAACTGTCACACCCTAGTTTTAAATTGCTTAGGAATGCTTACAGTTCTTACGTTTGTTTCTAGCTAGTCTACTCCATGGCGACGGCTTGAGATACTCGAGACTGCACTTTCCGTATATGGCATCATGCCTGAGAAACTCTCTCTAGAGACTTGCATTCATTAGTGAGGTCAGGTAAGAACGCGCGGTTAGTGTAACTTGGCGCTGCCTCTGAGAACTTTGCCGGCAAGGTCTCTTTTTTAAGGCAAGGATCAGTGAGTTATGGTTGTGAGCTTCAACCAGAATGCTCGGAAATTTTGTTTCGAAACTGAATGGATTGGCTCGGTCAAACTGGAAAAGTTTTGGAAAATAAATTCCACCTTTCAAGGAGAATCTTTCGTTTTGGTTAGACCGGTAAGATGGAACCTCTTTCGTTCCATTTGGCCACTGATGCACTTCAAGCCAAAGCCTCTTTGTTATACTCACAAAGCAACATAGCCGATCAAAATTACCAGTGCACTAGTTCGTATTGCTTATTCTTTTCATGTAAATTATAGAACTGCATTTTCACCAATGCACAGAGAATACAGGCTGATAGGTGATGAACGAAGGGAAAATAATGCACCATTATTATCTCTTGAGTTACATAGAAAGCTAAGTTTATTTTTCCCTTTGTGAAAAGGTACTTTCAAATAGCCTCGTTTTGCACATCTGGTCATGTAATAAGCTTGCATTCGCGCTATCGTTCTTCGTTGGCATTTAAAGTTGATCTCAATTCTAGAAGACCCCTCCCTGATTCCTGTCGAAAGCTTGGATAAGAATTCTGACCAGATGGATCTCTCTTTACTCTGCAAGTCAACAAAGTCATACACTTGAACGAAGGAACTACAGTGAGAATTTACGAGTTTCCAGTGGAAAGTGTTTTTTTGTACCAAGGCAACAGTTTACAATCTCTTGACCAAGGAAAGTGTTTTAGTCAAAACAATCTAACAAAATGAGCGCGAAATTTTATTTCAAGAGGGGAAGGAAACGAGAGCAAAAGGAAGTCCTTGTTCAATTTGCCATCGAGTAATCTACAAAAAAAAAATCAATCTTCTAGTAGGCGCGATCATTCAATCCATCATTGGGCGCGATTCGTGCAAAAGTGCATGGATCAGGCCCAATGAGATTCTACCTTAGTCTGTTAAAAATTTTTTCCATTTTTTTGCATCTCTGGAAAAATACGCTCACAAAAACCATCATCCTTCTAGGAGTAGGTGTGACATAAAATCATGTGATTCTCTGTCGATCGAGCTGACGCCTCAAAGGCCAGGAGCTAGAAGATAGCTAAGAGTTACTTGCAAAGAAAAGCCACTGGAGTACTTTTTTTTCTGTGCCAGCCTTTTTGAAAGTAATATTTCCTTTCCAAGATATAAAAGAATTCAGTGCGCGAATCTCTTTAATTAGTATGGTAAGGGGTAACTAAAAGGGTGATAAAAGTTAAAAATAATTTAACAGAAAATCTTTAAAATTAGCTCTCAGCCGAATTATCAAACATCTCGCACAGCAAAAAGTCGCTCCTGCAAAGTACAGAAATTTGTGGCCATTGATTCATAATAACTCGAACGCCCAAGGACTGAAATAATGAAAAAAGCTTGAGTTATCAGGAACTCTAGTTATTATTAAATTATGATAAAGGAACAAAAACAAAAACAAAAAATACAGTGTATACCAAGAAATTATAATTATTATTTCTTTTAGTTACTTTTCAGTTCTATTCTGACGGTGCACATTTTGATCCAATTCTATTTCAAAGAAGAGAAGGCGAACGAACACAGAACATTTTGCAATTAAGAATTAAAAACGAAAATATAAAGAATTGTAAGCTTCTTCAAAATAATGCAAATTTTTAGACTAACGTACAGATAGACACGACTTATCTCGTATCGACAACTGAGTTATCGAGGGTGCGAGTATACAGAAAATCTCCTGAAGAGGAGCGAAAAACACTTCGAGTCAGAGGTTGCATGACCAGGATTCGAGTGACCCACCATAAAATCAACCAATAAGTGCATAATGTAAACCAGGGAAATATCGCTAGTTTTGGCTCGAATAAGTGCGAAGTTCGATTCGACTGTAGTTATTTTATTTCAGGCTCGTCCCATGTCTGAGAAATCTTGGTTATGTGATTCAGAGTTAGATGCGCGAGCTTTGAAACTTGTTCGGTAAGAAAAGGTATGACAAGGAGAAGGGGTTATAGCGAAAAGACTAAAGTTGCTCCTGTATCTCCTTTAGCCTGATATGCAATTCCGCGTTAATTTGTAAATTTGTTAATGAAGCTAGCTCTACTTTTTTCTCATCACTGATGATTAAACCCTGACGTTTTAATCTTTTATTTATCTTCAAATAGTTGACGAAAAATTTAAAAAAATCATGACCAATCGGGAAGAGAGCATCGTATCACTGCTTAAACGACTAAAGTACCACTTTAAAATATATGCAATTGGAGGTAAATCGTAGATGCTTATTTTCTCCATAACTCAAAAAGTGAAAATTAATTTCACTATACGCTGGCGTTTCATGCGTTATTTCGATTCATTTCAGCCAGTTTCAGCTTAATGCTACAATTTGCTTTGCGGCAGAACTACGGACAATAAACAGAGTATCTATGTTTATTCCGATACCGTCAACATTTCTGTCAGTTGGTTGTCAAGTAATAAGGATAGGGCAACTGAAGAGACTCGACGGCGCTTTGTTATTGACTCGACTCAGAAATCGCAGAGAAGACGAAAATTCTTAGGGGAACTAAACCGTTATAAAGAAATATGCCGCAACAGTTTCGATACACAACGGAAATCCTCGTGCGTTTTTGACAAAAAGAATATAATATCACCTATATTGTACTAGGTGCAAAACGACTCTTCGTCATAATTCGCTTAGGACTGGTCAAATAATCGAAATTGTTTCACAATTCAGTTTATTCATCATGAATGCTACCACGGTAGGCTATAACATTAACACAACATTGCCCAAAACCTTATCAATAAACGCGCTGACACCAAAAAAAAAAGAACAAAAAAAGGTTAGAGGGACTTCATCTTAATCATGTTAAAGCCCGGACCAATCATTAGAAGCAACTCTAATAATAAGTAAAAAAGATGCGAGTTTCGTTAATTCTGGTGGTACGTTAGCCAGTATAAACATTTACTAACGGTGTTAAGAGAAATAAAACTGTTACCGTAACTCCAGTCGAATATTCGCTCGTTCGTGCGTCTTTAATATTACCACTCAAATCTCTTGACGCACGTTTGGTGTTTTGTCGACTCTTTGGTATAATTCGTAGAATGACTGTCGGCAGGTTTTGAAGCGAGATCGATATGTTTTCAAAACCGTCAGCCACGGCAACGGAGAACGTCAAGAATTCTGGGATTTGCAGGTGATGGCTGTTAAGTTTTAATTTTAAATGTCCCATTCAATTGTCGAGAGCGTGGTTTTACGCTATTGAGTTCTGCCCTCACCACAACCACTTTTCCGCAAATCCTCGCTTAAGCAGGACCAATCGATTCCGTTGAGTCAAACAGCAAATAGGAAATCTCACCGTTCACTGGGAATTCCCCAAGCGAGAGTCGTCGCAATAAGTATGACTTGAGGCTATCACTTGATAAATATTAATAAACCTCGAAAATAAAAACATGGATAGACACAACGATAAGAAACAAAT